TTTTTGATAAATTTAACAATTTTTACAATAATGCAGTATCTGCATAACAGTAAATCTTCTATTTTTTGTGTGAATAAAAATTCATAATCAAAAGCAAGTGTAGTATAAGAGAAACCTGGAGATGTGACTAATAAACAGAGAAAATATTATTTTAATGCCAGGAATGTCTGCAGTGTTTATTCTGGACCCTATTTTGAAATTGGCCTTTCTTGAATTGTGTGTGAATTTGGGCAAATTACCAATTTATGATCACTTTATTGGTAGTTGAAATAGGTAAATAAGTGGCTTCTTGTACTCAGTCGATAGAATAAAGTTAGTACTAGCAAAATAGCTATGAGTTTGGTCGACTAGAATAAAGTTAGTACTAGCAAAATAGCTATGAGTTTGGTCGACTGGAACAATGGAATTGGCCCAAAATAGGGCTCAAAGTGGGCAAAATTGCCGATGCCCAAATATCACCGAGACTGCTAATTTGCAAGAGCGTAATTCCATAAGTTTTCCATCAGATTTTGTACATTTAGTTTCATTACCTTTAGAAAAGATTTTCTATAATTTCATAAGAATTTTTTTTTTCGACACTGGGAGCAAGTTTGTGAGCAGGGGTTGCAACATTGAAAGGGTTAAGTACAGTACATGCTCCATTTACTTAATTTAAGTACTTTGCAGACTTTTAAATATTATTGTTACGTAAATTTTTCTACCTTTCTATTTTTCATATTTGTTCCATCTTTAGTTCTGTCAGCTACTCCTTATAAATGTTTCTAACTTTAATTATCTCATTCCTTACTCTGCCTCTAAGCATTAGTTTTCCTTGTATTCTTTCAGTAATCCTGGGAATAAGTGATTGTTGACTGTACATTTTATTAAATAGCTGAAATGTATGGTTATATAAAAAAGTTAAAAATAAAGGAAAAGGAATCATTTATTCAAGGGTTTATTTTATGGTAGTCAAGAATAAAAATATCTTGGCTCTAGCAGTTCACTGTCTCATGCATACAATAGGATTTTTTTCTTCTATCCATAATTACATTTCAAATATTTGAGGGGCAGAGTCCAGAAGCTGAAGCTCAGTCCCTGCAAATACAGTTGTGTGTGTGCACCTTCATTCCCTCTATCCATTCATACCACCACAGCATGCTGTCCTTCATATTAGGATTGATAGGCATATGCACTCTTCTTTTTTCCCATAGCATTATCATTCCTTGTTCTAGTTATCTACCTAACACCACATACATATATGCTTCTTAGATTATTCATCTTTTCTCTTTAAGTGATATTGAATTGTTCAAAATCTTTGAACATTAAGTTTATTTTTTACTTACCCCCAAGTCAGTAAAAATGCTTTCCATCTCCTCCCAGCCAGTCACATCCTGACACTGTAGAGCTGGAATACCATTACTGTCTTCATGACACTGGCAAGGACCAAGGTCCTCCGAAGGAGGACACACTGCCATACATCCCACAGTACAAACAACCAGTAGAGTGTGATGTAATTTAGTCATCCTTGAAAAGCAACAATGAGTTTTAAAATTTGTGTTTTAATTTCGTATCATTACTTATTGATAATAAATATTGTATTTTCAATGATGAGATCATAAGGTTAGTATTTTATATACAGTAGCATAAGATTATATAAATAATGTATTGTAAGAATTAGTCATGGACATATTTTGCTTTGAGACTAATAAATCAGTAGGTTATTTAGCACTAAAATGCTAATATGTTTATTAGTACTTTACAAGTGTTTCAGAGTGTGCATGGATGTTTTTTTTTTTTTTTTTTAATACTCTAAAGCAGTGGTTCCCAAACTTTTTCAGCTTGTTACCCAATTTAACATGCCACATAAAGCATGTTACCCCTTTCACAAAATGTTGTTATTATTGATATATATGGCTAAATTAAAACACAGTGAACGTATACAGCCTCGCATACTCTGCTAATCCTAGCAAAGCCATTGAAAACGTAAGAACCACACATACATTATATATAAAATTAATAATAGCTACAAATTCACAGTAACAGTGGGTAAATACTAACTATATACTGCACAGGGCAGTACACATACATACCAGCTTATGTCTACCTCGGCTGATGCTCACAGATAAACTGACAGTGTGAAATAGAGGCAGCCTCAGGAAGTGAGTGACGCGTACTGGACAGGTCGATCTGGGCTACTGAGTGACTTTTGTCCTGAAGCATACTTGTCAAAATACTTTTGGGTTTCCACACACTTAGCTATACGTATATTTCTTCTTTTCTAATACTGTATATTAGCTTTTGATGTTTATTGTTATTTGGTTTAACTTTATTACTTACTTATAATAGGTTTACTTTACAACTTTATATACTAAGACAAAGTTAACAATAATCCTCATACCGGGTACCGCATTGTTTTCTTGATTTTCAGAATTCATAACTTTTTTTCTGTCACCCCTCCATTACCCCCCAAAAATGGTTGAATTACCCCCAGTTTGGGAACCACTGCTCTAAAGCATGGTAA